AAATGCTCATGTATATGAGTTGCAATTTTTATTGGTGTTCTATTAAAGAAATTATATTTTTGTGAACATTAGTAATTTTAATATTCATATGGTTTAAGTTGGGAATTTGAAATAATGTCCGGCTCCGCCCCTGATCCTGGTTGACTTACATTTGATTGAATCGAAAAGGAGATTAGTCGAGGTGCGCGGAAGTGACTCGATACTCTTGACTATTAAAAAACAAAAAGAATTCTAGCCTCTAAAATACAACTAATTTACATTTTCCTTTGCAAGGTTATCTCTAAACAACTTGAAAGTTCAAAACATATCATTTCTCATCTATTAGTTTGGCAACAAGTTTAAAACCTATCTGGAGAAAATTTAGGGGAAATTCCAAACGGGGTTCAACAGAAACAGTCAAAGAAGGTCCTTAAAAGAAGGTGTGACTGATCTTGTGTCTGTTTAGCTAAAAAAAAAACAGAAGGTCCTTAAAATAAAGAAGAGAATTATGGAAGGAATTGGTGAGGCTGAACAAGGAATGGTGTGTGTGTGTGTGTGTCTCTATCAATAAACACAAACGAGAGGCCACGTCCCTCGTGAAATCAAAGGGGCCCGCCCTTCCCACTTTCCGCCATTGCTGATTAATTTTTGCACCGCAGCTCCAACAAATCAAACCATGTTTACGTGGCTATATATGCATGTCATGCATGCAGACATTTGTTATAGTTGCGTCCACAACTCCAAGTCCCCTCACGGATGAGGAAAATCCAAAGGGGTTAGTACCATTATGGCATGGATGCATGAAACGAATGTTGTGCAATTAAATAATTAAGGTTGTGAAATTAAGGTTGTGCAATTAAATAATTGACCAAGACTTATGTGATGTATTAAACAAGGTCTTTAGTGAAAATTTGAAAATCGAGAAGCGATGATGAAACCCAAAGGAGAGAAGAAGGTAAAAAAGAAGAAGGAAAAGAGAGCAATGAGTGAAGTATGCCTATTTGAAGAAGAACTAAATAAGGTCCGAGATGCAAAATCCATACCAACCTATTTGCAAGACAATGTCGAAGTAGTAGAAGAAAAGTTAGAGCTAATTCACATTTAGTTTTATAGGGAAGAAAAGAAAATACATCTTTGTATCAGTTAGCCTTGACATCACTGAAAAAGAAAGCAGCGTAAATTTTTAAAGGGAATACAAAAATCTGTTTGTTTAGACTTACAATGAGATGCCTAGTTTAAATACTGCTATGGTATGTCATTCTTTATGTCTTACTCTCCGCACAAAGCTGTATCATTTAAGCTTTTATTTTTGGTCTCTTTTTTTTTATTTTGGTAAATATAAAATTTACTTAACAAACATTAACGATTTTCATATTATAAATGATGGAACGTCATAATTAGTATTTAAAATTTTGGTTGAAAAAACAAAAAAAAAATTAGCTAAACTATTTCAGCCCACATCATTTAGTTCGGTAGTCCAATACTTTTTATCATTCTAATGGATAATAAATGTGTATGTGTGTGTGTGTGTGTTTATATTGTTGTATTGTTTTCCTCTGGGTCTGGGATAGGTGGAGCCTTGGAGATTGGTACCACTGTGGGTGCGTAGGTATTGCCGGTCTCGATGTGGCAGCATAAAACGGATCCATGTAGGGGGGATTCGCATTTTGTGAACAGGTCCCCTCACTCCCCTCCCCTTAAAAGCTGGGAAAAGTCTCCCACTTTTCACAAGAATGAAAGAAGCCCCGACGATCTGGCTTTACCGTTTCCTGTTTTCTTGGTGACTGGTCTCTCTTGCTCTCAAAATTTTGGTTCTACCAATGCTTTTTCTACAGCTTTATTTTTATCACTCTCTTTACATTTTCTCCGAAATGATATTAACTAGAAATAAAGTGAAAAGAGAACCTTCCAAGGTTATTAATGTTCTAAGCACGTGCGAGAGTCGTAATTTATCCAAAATAGATGATTTTATTTTGTGTGATTGATTGGATGAGAAATTCGCTATGTATCTAGACAATAGTTTAAATGATGTGTGATGTAGTATAGTTCTAACAGGTTGTTGCATATGTCAACCTTTTCTAAGTAGTGTATAATGCTTCCGTGTATATATATAGTGAGTCTAATCTTACACCAATTTTCACGACTTTATACATTTGTCTTCTAGTTTTAGTGATATATACAATTAATTTTCCTATTGCTAAATTTTTTTTTTGGTGGGCAGAGTGGTTGTACCAATATAGGATGAATTCATTCAAAGATGGCAAATATATGACTAAGTTGATATATATGTGCATTATTTATTATTTTAAAAGTTTATCAGTTTTGATAAAAATTTAAATTAGAGAGTGAAATTTCGAACAAAATTCTTATAGAGCTCTCTATTGTAATACTTGCCGTAATGAATAATGTATATATAAAAAAATGCATATGCCATATTTTTTTTTATCCAAAAACAATGTAATGGAGTGTAAATTTAGTTGAGAACAGAAAATCTATCGGAGATGGTGTTTCTTTGTTATAGCAATTCTAACTTTGTTAGAGCTCTTTAGTTTAACTTGATTATGGTATAGATAAAAAAAAAAAAATTCATTACCGTACTTCTAAAATTTACTACTTTAACGGGTGTGTTTTATAATTTTTGTGGGTTATTTAATAATTAAATAATTTATCATTTTTATTGATATTTTTATTACTGTTGTGGTAATTATTTTAACCACTCCTAATTTTTATCATATTTGTCGATATTTTTATTATATTTGTGGATATTTTTATTATATTTGTAAGTATTTTTATTACTGTTATAATAATTAATTTTGATAACGCTAGGATTTTTTGGGCGAAGCATTTCCGAGCACCATCAAATTTTATCACTTTTTTTCAATATTATAATAATAATAAAAATATACACAATAATAATAAAATTTTTTAAAAATATGATAAATAAAGATATTGTACGAATTTTTTTTTCAAGGTACCATAGGAAACTCCTTGATCCTAATTCTGACTAAACCATGAACGTGAGTGAAGTGTACTTATATGCATATTGTAACTAACTCCTAATGATTGAACAAATTTCGCTGTTTTAAGAAAACACTAATAAAAATTATAAAAAATGTATAGGTCCATATAAAAACTACACAATCTCGTTAATTTTAGTTTTTTACTCTTTTGAAATCATACACATATTTTCAATTATACTACTTTGGCAATATTATCTTAACTAGATGGTAGGTGTCGCATAAAAGAACAGAGCTTAAGAATTAAAGGATTATTGAATAATTCAGTCGAAACTTCTTGATTTTTAAAAATTGAACAGAGGGGGATGAGAGTTTGTACACAGAGAATTTATAGTAGTTCATCAGTTTGGGAGCTTGATTAATCCATTCTAAAAAGAATTTTTTTGCTCTTAGGGTGATTATATTAATAAAGAGGAAAAGATTACAAATGGTATTTGCTTAGGCTAGATGTTTGTATTTTGTTGTGAAGGTTATGCCTCGTATTTATAATTTTTCAGAAACTTTGCAAGATTTTGGGTGGGATCTTAGCCTTTTTCTCGTAACGGTTGCACCTATTATGCGATTGCTAAGGACATTATTGATACTGTTACAACTTTTTTGCCTAAATGCAAGGCCGATGTGTTATGTTTGGTGCTTGAGTGAAAGCTAGCTATCTTCTATGCTATTTTCCTGTGAAAGTGTAGCCGCTGGGAGGAGGTGTAGAGCTCAAGTTCCCTAGTCATCGGTGATGGACTAAGTGACATGAGTTAAAACCTCGAGTTCAACTTTAAGAATATTTAGTGTATCATCAAAGTGTAATTTTAAATCATTCAATTAATATATATATATTTTGAATATACAAAGTTGTGTCACTATATTAACATTTTGGGACAGTCTGGTACAAAACAATTATCATTTTGTATGATAAAATTATAATTTTAAAAAAGAGAATGATCTTTCAATATCGGTCTCAACATTTCATGATCAATCATATTTTTTAAAATTATAACTTACATTCCAAAAAATTTATAATTTAGACATTTGAGAAATCATATTTATTTTAATTTTTTTTTTGATATATAAAATAAATATGCAAATAATTTACCATGAAATAGTTCACCGCACTTACATTTGCGTCGAGGTTAACATCCTAGCACGTGTTGTCTACGCTAAAAAATAAGTTTAAACCTATCAAACTATTATAGCTATAAAAATTCGAACCTAATTATTGTCCGAAAAAATTCAAGTTACCGACAAACTAGTTTTTGATTCAATTTCAAACCTGCGGCATGGAGAACAAGTGTGAGAATAAGGTGAAAGTGCAAGGGTAATATGGTCAAAGTGTAAACACACCTCCAATTCTCCCATTCATGTCCGCCAGCCCGGATATTTCGCGACCTTGTTTCAGACAATTTTTCCTCTGCGCAGAGCCAAAAAGTCACTGCTCACGCCTATCTTATCTTATCTTATTTTAATCAAATTATAATAATCTCTCTCCCCCTCTCTCTAACTCTGTATGTCCCTCTGGTTTTACGCCGGATGGCAGATGAAACCGCTCTTTCCTCCTATTATAACCTCACATCTGGTACTCATTCGCACCCTTCTCTTCACTCATCTCATTTTCTCTCTCTACAGCCAAACCTCAACTAGCCCACCCTTCTTTGATTCATGCTAGCTCTTCCCAGTTTTTTGAGAACTTCCCAACCTTGCATGTGCTACGTTTGAGAGAGAGAGAGAGAGAGAGAGAGAGAGTCTTTGACGCTCTAAATCACTACCCAACTTCTTTATCATCTTGTACACAAGTTCACATCTATGTCGCAATGGTTTCATACATAAAATAAGGTAGGTTCTTGGTGTAGTGTTTGTTCTTTCTAACCGATTCCGTGTAATTATGTTCATTTTCACTCTCTTTTAGATATTTATTTTGCCCTGAAAAGTGTTTGTTTTGTGTGATTTTGGGGTTTTAGCTTTCAGTGAATAGGGTTGTAGAGACATAATATTAAAGAGGTTGAGAAGAGGTCGATAATGGCTCCGGATAATAACTGGCTTTCGTTTTCGCTATCTCCAATGGAAATGTTGAGCTCATCCTCGCAGTCCCAGATGCTTCAATCTTCGATCTCAACCGATACTCAGCAATACTATTTCGTCGATAACTTCTACGCAAACGGTACATATATTCACTTTTTTTTTTCTCCAAGCTAAATCTCAGCTCGTTAAACTTCTGCGACTGACTAGAATCTGGTTGTGGAAATGCCATTTTTCAATCTAACTTAGTCGCTTTGAGTTTCAAACACAGCCCCTAAGTTTCCGTTTGGTTGCTAAGAAAAAGGAACGGAAAAGGTGCATGCAAAAAGACAAGAAAATCAATTCAAGTGTAATGTCTTTTCTTTCTTTGTTTTTCAAAACATAGCCGAATAGTTGTATTAGGCGTTGTTTGAGTGGAGTTTTTTGGTGTTTTCTGATCCTTAATATGTAGGGACCCGGAGGTTCGAAGTTCAAACCCCTTTGCTCCCATTTCTCTTTTCTTGCATTTTCTCAGCAACCAAACGGTGCCCGACTTTCATTCGTTTAGGGTTCATTTATTTTTAGGTGATAGACAGCTCAGACATTGGTTTTTGTTTTGGGCTTTTCACATTTATTGCAGGTTGGCCAAATCCAAAAGCTCAAGTCATGTACACACAAGGAGAGCATAATCAACTCAAAGAAGTCACAAGCCAGACCGTCAATGGTGAATCCTCGATTTTCACAACCTTCATGGACTCACAAATCCATCAAAACTCAGTCCCGAAGCTCGAAGACTTCCTCGGCGGCGACTCAACTTCATTGGTTCGGTACTCCGACAGCCAAACGGAGACCCAAGACTCCTCCCTGACTCACATCTATGACCAAAACGGTTCAACCTATTTCAGTGACCAACAAGATCTCAAAACAATTGCTGGGTTTCAAGCCTTTTCCACCAACTCCGGTTCGGAGGTTGATGACTCTGCGTCAGTGGCTAGGACCCAGATTACTTGTGGCGAGTTTGCGGGTCAGTCCTTGGAGTCTAGGAACGAGTTGGCTTATTCACAGTGTCCTGCAAATGCTTTGTCTTTGGGGGTTAATACCCCGAGCTCTGAGAAGGCTATTGTTTTGGTTGATTCGGACAGTTGTAAGAAAATCACTGATACATTTGGCCAGAGAACTTCAATCTACAGAGGAGTCACAAGGTGGGCTTGCTTTCCCTCTCTTCACTTCTACTGGGTTTTTGTTTAATGTGCGATTATTTGACTAAATTTCTGTGTATTTTGTAATGTGTTTTGGTTAATTTTTGTTTTTAGTACTATTCATTAACGTGTACAGTTTAAGGAAAAAGTTGGGTTCTGTTGATGCAGACACAGATGGACGGGTAGATACGAAGCGCATCTATGGGATAACAGCTGTAGGAGGGAGGGCCAGGCCAGAAAAGGGCGTCAAGGTCTACGCTCACTCTCTCTCTCTCACACACACACACACACACACACACACACACACTAGATGGTGTAATGTCTGTGACTGTAAGCATATACTGTGTAACCGAAAAGAAGGTTGCATGGAGTGGAAGAAATTAATGCGGTCTCAGAGCCCAGGTGATCAGGGACTCAGAGGGGTATTTTCTTTCTTTCAATCAGACTTTTATGATGATTGATTGACTGATGGTATATATATGTACATTTGTACTTCTTCTTTCTGTTCTCTCTCTTTTTTTCTTTCACTGATTTGATCAGATGGGCCGCCATTTTGTTTATCTTTGGGTGTGAATTTGTTGTCTTCTACCTTTCGTACCCCTCTCCCTGGAAACTGAAGAGGTTTGTCCAGATATTATTATTCATCCCTATCAATGGATAAGTCTCTGTCACTAAAAAAAAAAAAAAATATGTGGGTACCATATAATTTTACAGTATCATAGTTGGACCCTCCAGAATTTCTGGTTACAACATCATCGTCTACATGAACATCCCTGGTGTGTACGTATCTCAGCTAGTCTGGAATCTAGTGTCTGGCACTCTGAATTTTAGCAGAATGCTTTAACTTTTGCTTTTGCTTTCATGGGCCAGTGACTCTCAATACGTTTGACCAACTGATCCCGCATGAAATTTAAAATTTTAAATGAAACTGCCCACCATTTTTTGGTGGACAATAGACATGTAATTGTCCACTGTTCACACCCCTTCAGCCTTCAAATATTAAATGAAGTAGAAAATTGGTTGATGATGTGAAATATTTGAAATTTTCATATATACAAATGCACCCTATGCCCTCAGCACTGCCAGAGCCAAAGGCATTGGTTAGCTGTGATGCGATTCTGATTAGGTATCAGAGTCATCAAGGATAAATGGTGCACTTGAAGCTACTCATGTTCAAAAATTGAAGAGCTTATAGAAGTGCCGAAATAAAAAATCATGTATACCTTTTGTTGGTCACACACAGTATCTCTGTCTAGCTTTCAGCCACACAACACGGCGCATGCATGCAAAGGCACTCCGTTTTTGCTTTTTGTGCCTTTTTGTTTTAAGGAGATTGTTTCTGGCAGATATGTTTGACTTCATTAGCTAATTTTCCAATTCGTATATGTTTTGTGCATGAAATGCGGGATTGTGCATCACCTGTTACTCAAATTGTGAAATTTGTTCTGCAGTGTACTTGGGTAAGTAATCTCCTTGTTAAATTTTCTGAGACATATTTAGCTGTATGTGTCTTGAGATTTATTTTGATTGATTTCTGTGGATAATCAGGTGGCTATGACAAAGAAGAAAAGGCGGCAAGGTCTTATGATTTAGCAGCTCTAAAATACTGGGGTCCCACTGCCACCACCAACTTCCCTGTAATCCTTTACCCCTTTTACTTTTCCATATTAGTGGGTTTTTCCCCTCAGATTTATACCCATACAATGTGTCCAACTTTGTTAAGGAAATGCTACTTTTAGGCACCATAGTTGGACCTGGTGTGGATAAGTCTTTCATCTCTGCATGAGAAGTTACATAAACAATAAAATATGGACTTAAGTTTGAGTTGGACTCATTTTTACCCTTCAGGTTTCAAGCTATACAAAAGAGCTGGAGGATATGAAGCTTTCGACTAAGCAAGAATTCATTGCCTCGCTTAGAAGGTCTGCTTACTTGACCCCTTCTTGTACTCTTGGTCCAATTTTTGTCTGTAAGATTAGTGGAATTGCTAGGCCGAGTAGCAGCAGTTTCTCATTCAATCTTCATCCCAACATTGCAGGAAAAGCAGTGGTTTCTCGAGGGGAGCGTCTATGTACAGGGGTGTGACAAGGTTTGAATCTTTTATGCAAGTTGTTTCTTGATGGAGCTAAATCCTTTTGAACCTTTTCTTTTTTATTGTAGCTGCATGGCCTGCATTTATTAACTACTGGTTGAGTTTTTGCAGGCATCATCAACAAGGTAGATGGCAAGCACGGATTGGTCGTGTTGCAGGAAATAAAGATCTCTACCTTGGAACTTTTGGTAGATATCATCCTCTTCCTTGTATTTTAGTAGGCTTTAGTAGATCCATATTAATTGAGAATACATCTGATATGAATTGATCAAGTATATGATCAAATAGACCGAATTGTTCCCTTTCTTTAAACCGGTCAATTTCAATACATTGTCAAGTTCAGCTCATTTGTTCCCATAAATATAGCAGAAAGTAGACGGAATTTTTTTACTTGCTATCATTATTTCATTGAAATACACAGAAGAAAACCTTTAGGATCAGTGCATGTAGATAATAATTTGCTTTTATATGTTATGGCAGCCACTGAAGAGGAAGCAGCAGAGGCGTATGACATAGCGGCAATAAAGTTTAGGGGACTGAATGCAGTGACCAATTTTGAGATGAACCGATATGATGTTGAAGCCATTGCCAAAAGTGCTCTTCCCATTGGTGGGCCTGCAAAGCGCTTGAAATTCTCGCTCGAGGCAGAGCAGAAACCAACTTTGAGCAATACCTCCCAAGCTCATCAGTACAGCAGTAACAGCAGCGGTAGCATCAGCTTTGCTGCCATTGAGCCGGTTTCTGCTATTCCCTGTGGAGTGCCATTCGATACCCCATCACCGCTATATCATCACAACTTCTTCCACCACCTCCCCTCCAACAACGCAGCTGCTTCTGGTGCATCTGGGTCTGTCTCCCAAATGGTAACTCCAATGCCTTTAGTGCCATCACCAGCCGAGTTCTTCATTTGGCCTCACCAATCCTATTAACTTCTCTACAATACACCGTTCAGCTAATGTTAACCAACAGCCCTTGTTTGTGGTATTCAATTTAAGCTGACCCTCAACTGACCCAACTAAGCTTTAGCTAGTTTTTAACCTTGGTAGGGCTGAGATATAAGGTGGTTTTGTTTAAAGAATACATTTTTAGTTCCTAGCTATAGGATGGAACATGATATCTGTAAAAAGCTTGTCTTCGACAACTGGGGAAGTTCTATGGAGGATGGGTTTGGGGCACTCATCTTCTTGTGGAATAGTTTTACATTTTCTCCAGTGTTTGATTTGGTTGAAGATGCTCCTCTCATCAATCATAATTTTGTTCGAAGCTGACACAAATATTACCTGTTTTTACAGAGTTTTAATGTTAGAACAAATATTATAACCTGTTTTACTGATTTTTCATGTTGCTATATGCTCTCAAGAGTAGAGGTATAAGCTACTTGCGGAGACCAAATTTACAGAACAAATTTTCTAACCAAATCTGTTAGTTCCAGTTGGATTAGTAATGAACTCTATTTTACTGTTGAGAGCACTGGAATTTATTCGGATTGGGTTGATCCGAATCTTCTTAGTTTTCCCGGGTTTTAGTTTTGCACTCAAACCTGTTCAGAGATTGTCATACAAACGGTGTAACAAGCCTCATTAGAGTGGTTCGAAATGGTTCCCATGTTGGGCCTCACAATGGGGAACCCGCCACAAAATTTGTATTAGCATGTGTGCGTGTAGTTTTAAATGGGTTAATCTGTTGAACTCGTCAAATAAACCGGTGAACTTAAAATGGGCTAAAAATGACATGAATTTACTAAACGTTATTGGTATGCAGTATAAATTTGATACAACACGAATCAAACAAACGTATGATTCTAAATATGTTGAATATGGGTTTAGAGAATTATTGCACGACATAATTTATGATTCTAAATATGTTGAATATGGGTTTAGAGAATTATTGCACGACATAATTTAGCTACGATTTGAACTCGATACAATACTACTTACTTAACAGGGCCGGCCCAATTACATATTTGAAAAATCTTGGGTTTTAGGGCCCATTTTTAAAAAAGACCTTAATTTTTTAAGTACCATAATAGTCCATGTAAAAAAAGTCTTATAAAAATATAAGCTCTATCAATCATTTAGGTCCTATGTTAAAAAAAATAAAAATCATTTAGGCCCATATTCTAATTCAAATATTAAATATTCAAAAAAAAAAAAATTGAACTCAAAAGTCACATCAAACTAAAAAATTTAAAGATGAAATCATTACAATAGCAACCATTTTTCTCTCTCTCGGTTTAACCAAAAACCAACTGGCCCCCAAGTCGCCCAACTCTTCTCTCGGTAAACCAAGGCATCTTCCTTTTTCTTTCTCTGTCTTTCTCTTTCAGTGCTCTCACAATAATCCTCTCACAGTGTTAATCCTATCACAGTGTAAAGCAATAGTCAAGTTTTCATTTTAACTTCTGAGTGCTTGAGATGTTCTTTGATCCATTCATCGTCGACTCCATTGCAACATAAGGTACATGGTTAAAACATTGAGACCATTCATAATTTTAATTTTTTTTGTGTTCTTTGTCTTTGCTTTCTTTTTACTTTCTAGAAAAAAAAAATTCTGTCTTAAATTCAAGGTTGTGTTATATAGTTTAACTATACTATATATTGTGTTTATTTATGGTTTATATGTGTTTGTTTGCGTTTATATGTATTTGTTTAGTTGTTATATAGTTATAATATATTAATATATGACTCCTAGAAGACAACCAAGTAGATACGAAAAAAAAAAAAAAAAGAAAATTGACAAACTAATAAAATCTCAAAAAAGATCTCTTGACAAATTTGTTACTAGTAACAAAAATAATATAACAAAAAATTTAGATGAAAATTTTAAAATTGAACAAGTAGATAATGAAATAGAAGACCTCGTTTAAAGATACCACTTTTGAAAATACCGCTTTTGAAAATATTAATACAAAACATAGAAGGCCTTATTTAAAAATATCTCTTTAGGCCCAAAATTATCTTGAGCCACCCCTGCTTGCTTACTGACAGTCGTCCACGTATGGGTTGTAATGAGACCCGGACATCTTATAGAAGTAATGGGTGGAGCAAGGATTTTAGTATTGAGTGGGTATTCTAGTTAGTAATTATGTTGTGAATAGAAATATAGCTATCGAGAATACCTAATGGCTGAGAAATCCAGCATAAATTTGTTTTACTAATGCACAAATGATCTAGAAAGTTCACATACAAGATTTTTTCTATAGAACATATGATACTTACCATTCGTTGATTCTCATAAAAACATGCAAATGGATTATAAATGAAAAGTGGTAGTTATATATTTTCTTCATTTTAATAGCTAAGATCTCCTTCCAGGGACAGCTCGAGATATTTTGGGGCTTAAAACGAAAATGATAAATGAGGTTTTTTTATTTTATTTTTAATATTAATGATAAATTTGATTTTTAATTTTTTTAAATATAAAAATATTAATTAAAATTTCATATTCAAGCTTTTATTATCATATTTGAACTTGATGGTAAGAGAGAGAAAAAATAATTGATAAATTATAATGGTAAGTTTAAAATTGAATTTTTTGGGGGTTAGGACTAGAATTTTTAGTAACTTTAGTTTTACTTTTAGTTTTTTTCCATTTTAAAAAAAAAATAAATTTTAGAATTTTTTAACTTCACAATTGAATTAATGGGCTGAATTTACTTAAGTTGAAATCTTTTGTTGGACATGAATTTAATTTTTTTATGGAGAAATTAGGTATGAGTATACTTTTTAGGTCTTATTTAAATATAAGTTCTCAGTTTTAACATGTAAGCATTTAAGTCCAAAATAAGTATTAAAAATTATAAGTAAGTATACCTTTTAATTTAATTTTTTTAATACCTTCTAATTATCTCTGTTTTGATTCATGCATATTCTTTACAGTGTTATTGCGATATATACAACCGTTTGAAATTTAAAAAATTGATACTAATTCATTTGACATTTATCTTTTTGAACCAAAAGTTTTTTTTCCCCACATTTCAGTTTTCTTCGAATAAGCTTTTCGTTTTACATAGCATGCATTAATTTTTTTTTTTGTTGTAGTGAGATTTTGGCTTCTTTTTCACCATTTGAAAGTTTCATCTTGTCTTTTAGGTCGATGAAAATTGCTTAACTAGACGCGTTAGTTTCGTCTTCTATCCCTATGTTTTTTTTTTAAAATCAAATTCTTTTTGAAAACAATGTAACAAATCAAAAATCAATGTGACAAGTTTGTGATAAGTTACTCAAAAATGATGTAACATATAAAAAATAATGTAACAAGTTACTCAAAGATAATGTGACAACAAATTTAAAAAATGTGACAAGTTTCTCAAATTTGTTATTTACAGAACACTAGATCTATAATTACATCAAATATTGAAAATTATGATTCCGAAAATAATGAAACCGAAAATCTTGTTTGATTCAGAAATTTGGAATGAGTGAAATTAATGACTTTCCATTTCAAGATCGAAGTGGATTTCGTGTTTGAGGGCAGTCCAAAACGGTTGACGTGATTCAAGTAGAAATTTTTTGGGTTTCCATGACTGATTTTTAATGCTTCAATGAGTGTTGTTAGAGTGCATTACAGCCATTTTCATTCAAAGTGGACTTTTATCCAAATTCTTTTTTTTTAAATGCACTTTTACTCTAGTAAGTCTTATAGGGTGTGTTTGGATAATTGGCAAGGATAGGAATGAATTGAATTTTTTGTATCCTAACCCATCCCACCCAAACCCATTTAGGCACTTAATTAGATGGGTTATGTATACCATCCAACCCAATCCATTGTTTGGCAAGGATCAATTGAATGGGATGGAATCCACTAGACTTTTGTAGATATTTACCATTATACCCATCATCATTTTCATAGTTGCTTCCTCCACTTTCTACCACCGGAATCGCCATAGCCACCTACTTGACGAAACCCACGGCCAGAATTCACCAAACACCACCACCACCAAAGCAAAACAATGAAACCCAGCACTGTGAAGCACCAAACACTTCCACCACCAACCCAAATAAACATACCCACCAAATCTGGTTTGCAAAAACCCTAGGCCTGGCCGTCGTTGCCTTCATAAAACGAGAGAGAAAGAGAGAGAAAGAGGAGAAAGAGAGAGAAAGAGGAGACAGATGGCGAGCGAGAACCAGAGATTTGGGCTATTCATTGCCTTCACAAAGCCAGAGAGAGAGCTCAAGAAAGGAAGGGATGGGTAAATATGTCATTACCCTTCATAACCCATCGGCTGGGATTGAAACCCAAGGTGGAGTTGGGTTAATTTTAACCCATGTAGTAGGGTTAAAAAGTACTGTAACATCCGGGTCAAGAATAGACCCGAGATTGATTTCCTAACTCATTTTTGACTTTTTAAACAAAGGTTTTGTGGGACCCATTACCTTATTACCCTATCCTTATGGAGGTTATCCCACCTTAACCCACTACCCAAACACACTCATAAAGTGTACCGGCTTCCGAAGTACCCATTTTTTTTTGGACTATTACTGTAAAACCCGAAAAAATTAAAATTTTATTAAAAAGGGGAAAAATGGTAAATATTCAAAAATTTGAATTTTTCTAAAACTAGGATGACAAAATGGATCTCACTGTTGGATTTGTATCGCGAAATCTAGCTATTAAGTTAATTTTCGTCGATTTTTAAAATAGTCAATTTTTTTTGCATTTTATGAGGCGAACAGGTGTCGCTCGACTAAAATAAATGCAATCAAATTTTATTCACGAAACTCAGGAAATATTTTAAAGTTAGTTTAATAAAAATGTACTAAATTTAACACGGGACAAGATTTAATTGATTTGAGATAAAATTTTAGAAAAGTATGTCGGTGTACTCGAAATCGGAGGTGTGATGCTCTCAAATGCCGTGCCAATTTGGTAGACCGTTAGTGTGATGTCCATAAATTACCCACCCAAGAAAGACACAAAATTTTATAAAATGGTCATTGGATGTCTAACATCAATGGCAGGGGCTTGAATACCTGCATGCATACGCATGACATGACATGTGTTATGGGAGCTGATGGAGGGCTCCGGTTACATTGCATGCATGAGTTTCACCCCATGATATGACATCAAATAATAACATTCATTGACGACATGTATATATTTGAATGGGTGCTTGATGTGATGACTTGCATGTGACATTTTATATGTATTTTGATTGAGGAGTAGCCTCCTTAGGAAATACTATATTGAGTGTGGCTCACACTTTTATGGGGATATCTATTTTTGGTGTTGGACAAGCCTCAACGAATGACCTCATTTGGGCCCGTGTTGAAGAAAGATCCAGGTTATGGTTCTTAAAAATTACATGTTATAATCTCATGTATATTTTGTTTTGCTCTTATATTAATCATGTACAAAAATTGTATTTTAACTAAGGCATGTAATGTGCCATTATTATTTTGTAAAACAAATGAATGGAATGAGTTATTGGGTGAAAAGTTATGATGAGAGCCAAGGTGAGCCTACTCTTAAAATCCTTGGCATGTTCAGATGGGCCAATTACAAGATCAAGAGTCAAGAAGATCAAGCAAGCAATGCAAGGATTGGTGGGATGAAGCTAGCTAGAGCCCAACACTCAAGATGGGCTTGAAAGAAGGAGAACCAATTTTAATCTCCTTGATCCAAGGTATGGAAGACATGAAGACATGACTTAGAGATAGGGGTTTTTGTTGTTAAGGCTTTCAATTTGTTGAAAGATTTTTTATTATTAGTTTAGAATAAGTGGGTTTGAGGATGCTTAGCCCACACATATTTTATTTCTTATGAACTAGGATTTTCGTAGTTACTGTAGTGGTGCAATTCACACTACAGTAAGTGCGCACTATTCACTATTTTTAGGGTCTAATTGTAAGGCTTGTATGCCAAGTACTTTCCTTATTCTATTTAGGCATGTGATCAGCCAATTAAAGGGCTGAATGTCTTTCTTTTTCTTCAAGAGTTTTAGGAAAGTAGGAGATATCTCTTTACCAACAAGTAAGAGATATTTCTTAAATAGGATAGCTATTTTAGGAAGTTTCCTAATCATTGTAATGGCCAGCCTATAAATAAGTGTTCTATCAATGAAATAGGAGTGACAAGATATAATGAATTTTGATTGTGAGTTGAGTTGAGTTTACTCCTCTTGTTCTTGATTGAAATTTTGAACTAATCAAAGGTAAATCACAACCTTTGTAACGCTCCTCCTTGTAATCTGGGTTCTTGATAAGGGTTCTTCAATGAGTCTAGATTTTAATATAATCTAGATTCTTGAAATGAGTTCTCAATGAGTTTAGATTCTCCATCCATAGACCTGAATTTGGCTTTCTTGGATTGTATTTTCAATTTTGTTGTTGGGTCTCAAAGCAAGATTATTAGGGTTCACATCAAGTTAGAATTTTGGGAGTTTGGGATAAATTTGGATTCTAGGTACTGATACCTCACAGGTACTTGACATCTAGAGAGCTTAGGTACCGGTACCTAAATTTACAGGTACTAGTACCTCGAAGATAGTGGGCTTAGGTACCGATATTTAGGCTCACATGTTCTGGTACCACTATGTTGAGAGCCCAGGTATTGATACCTAGAAACCAGAGGGCTTAGGTACTGGTACCACATACCCGAGGTATCGGTACCTTTTCACAAGAATTGAAATTTTATGTGTAACTTTGTCGAGCTTTCACATTTTGAGCTTTTTCATTTGGATGATGTCATTGGTTGAATATTAAGCCTATACTTTGGGATGTAGATCTTGGGATTGTCGTATGATTATTGTATGTACAAGGTACGTATTGAGTAGAGCTCCTGTAAAAAAGAGACTTTGCCCAAGATTCTATTTTGATTATGATCCCGGTGAAAGGGAGTGTAACAACGTAGTATTGAATTATACGGTACTTACGAGTATTTTTACGAGTTGATGGATGATCAATGAGTTAAGAAAGGATTCCCGGATTTTGATGCATCACAATTACAATAGACCTATAAATTATAGGACCTTCCTTGAAGTGTGGCCTTGGGTCGTAAGTGCATCAATTTTTAACGGAATCTGAAATGGATATTAGTTCAAGGGCCAAATTGGAACCAATTTATGACATTCATCGTGCAATGTGAGAAAAATAATCTTTCGGGGTGCAAAGTAAAAATTGAGATATTTTTTATATACAAATGTACAAAATGGCTTCCAATATTTCCAAAAAAACTTCTCCAAAGATGTTCGAAGTGTGTCCATCTCGTGTTTATAATCATTTATAAAAATAAATGAATGCGATAGGATATGAAAAATAAAATATAATTAATATAAAGTAAATGTATTTATTTCTAAGAAAAATCTAGGGGTGAGTGTGTGACTCCTATACCCATGAAGATCCTATAGATATTAAACGATATATAGAACGGACAATATAAGAGGGGCATCCAATAGCGTTAAAAGGAGTATAAACCAGACATATAGACCAATCAAAATTTTCTTTAAAACTAAGTGTTTAAATGATATTTGAATTCTACAATTATTGTTATTAAAACAAAAAAGAAAAAAAATACTAGAATAAGCACGAAGAGAATGGATACGATGGTTGTCAATTCAAGTAATCATCTATAAATTCAAATTTTACAACAAGGCTTGATCGTTGGATCATTATCACTCCACAATTAGCACGATATGTGGTTGGATTTCATTACTCATTAACACGTTATTCATCATGAATCAAAGGTCCAAATAGTATTTTTCTTAAACTTATTATTGGACTGGTTATTATGCATGTCAGATAGTTTTCATAAGGAAAAATTTCATTGACACCACCTTTAGTTTCTGAAATATCACTGCACACCTCTGTAATTTATATACATGTTTTACAAACTGCCCTTGCTCCCTAAAGTCGTTATTGACAAGCAAAAAAGGTGTGATATGATAGTTTATTCTCTTATAAATTACCAAATTATCCTTGGCCATATAAAACAAGCTCAAAGTAGTAGTATACATCTTTTTAGTATTAATTGTGGAGGACACAGGCTGACCAGATTACTCCTCCAGAGAAGGGGCCTATCAGTAGTGTGATTGAACGACAGAGCTTTATTCTGTCTAGGGTTACTAGAGTAGACATACCTCGGCCTAGGACTGCATCTTTAGAGCCTGTAGATGCTCCTATTCCACTGACCTCTAGAGCCATGATTAATCAAAGAATGACTAGACTAGAGGGGAGGGTGAGTGGTATGAAGTCTAGTTTTTTAGATATCCAAGGAACATAGAACCAGATAGTTAGGGATTTGGAGCTGTCCTTGATAATTCAGTGGAGGTTGTTTGAGACTCTTCTTGCTAGAAAGGCTTTACCAGTTGTTCCTCCACCAACATCCACATCTAGACCTACCAGTCCTGAGACTGCTAAGCCAGCCACTTTAGCAGCACCCCCAACTTTTGTATCTGAGCCAAGAGAGATGGTTTAGGAGATATGCAACAGTGACTAGGTGGAGGAGGAGGCTAGAGAGGGGTCTGATGAGGAGGACGAGTTTAGGTTTGACTAGGTGTTTTGTTTATTAGGTTTTAAGATGGTTAACTAGTTTTTGTGTTCGTAGGAAATTGTCTAGTTGGGTTGTAATGACTTAGGATAGGAAAACCTTTAGTTGTATCCTAAAGTTGTTACATTTTGATCTTTTGTACCCATTGACATTGGCTATTTATGTATATATTAGACTTTTTTGATTTCATTGTGCATTTTAGAATTGGAAATATGAATGAATGTGTGTGAGTGTGCAATTACATGGATATTTTGAGCGTGTGTGGGATGAATGAATGGATGAATGCATATTTTCCAAACTTGGGTTTCTAAGAACTAGCAAAGCTTAAGTTGGGGGTATGTTGAGGGCATAACATTACATATTTTATAGCTTAATTTAGACTTGTTGCACAAGTATTTAATGTTTAATCCTTCAAATTGTGCTGAAATTAGAATAATGGGTGTATTCATGATTGTAGGTACAAATAGATATGAAGGGAAACATGCGGAAGCGTGCATAAGGTCATGGGAAATCACTAAGATGAAGAGAAGTTGAAGTAGACGAGCAAAGAAGAAGAAATCACAAAACACCCTGACCAATCGGTTGAACTCAACCGGTTGATCGAGCTTATAGAAGAGCTTTAATCAGTTGAAGGGGTTACATAAGTTGTCATTAGAGACATGCACCAAGACCGAGTTGAGAACTTCATCTGTTAAAGTCTCATAGCAAAATGTATGCCTACCAATGGAAGAGGGTGAACTAGGGATTAAAAGGCTCTGAAAATGATAAAAAAGTGTTGCTTGGTGATTCACATACTATGAGTGTTTTGGGCATGGGAGATGTCCAACTCAAATTTACCTCTAGCTGAGTTTTGACCCTAAGAGATGTTTTTCACACTCCTGAAATCAGAATAAATTTGATTTATGGTTATCTTTTAAATAAGATTGATTTCAAACAAACCATAGAATCTGATCAATATGTTTTGGCCAAGAATGGGTCATTTGTTGTGAAAGGTTATGCCTGTGATGGTATGTTTAAGCTGAATGTTGAAATGAATAAAACTACTTCTTCCGTTTACATTGTTTCTTGTGTGAATATGTGGCATGCTCGTATTTGTCATAGCAAATATTTGAAAAATATGAGTCATATTTGTTTATTGCCTAAGTTACACAATAATTTTGAATAATGTGAATATTGTAGCATGACAAAAATAACAAAACAGCCTCATGTCAAAGTAGAAAGAAATTTTAAATTATTAGAGATATGGACATATGCGAATTTGAACGAATTTTGACATGTGGTGGAAAAAGATATTTATAACTTTCATCGATGACTTTTCAAAATACACTTATATTTATCTTATGAAAAATAAAAGTGATGCTTTTGAAAAACTTATCATTTTTATTAAAAAAGTAGAAAATCGTTTTGATAGAAAAATTAAACGATTTTGAAGTGATAGATGTAGAGAGTATGAATCACTTGGATTAATTGAACATATACAGTCTTAAGGAATAGTTCATGAAATTACACTACCATACTCTCCTCAATCTAATGGTGTAGCTGAACGTAAAAATAGAACTTTGATAAACTTAACCAATGCTATGTTAGCTAGTTATAGTGCACCTAAAAATTGTGGGGAGAGATAGTTTTAACTGGAAATTATGTTATAAATAGAGTTCTTTGTAAACAAAATCTAGTTACTCCTTATGAACCGTGGAGAAAAAGAAAGCCTAACTTGAATTACATTAAAGTATGGGGCTGTTTAGCTTATGTTAGGATGACTGATCCTAAAATTTCTAAATTAGGAATAAGAGCAAATTAATATGTATTCATTGGATATGCACTAGGTAGTAAAGCTTATAGATTTTTAGACCTAGAGAATAATGTGGTAATTGAATCACTAGATGCTATATTTCATGAAGATAAATTCCCTTTTAAATATAAAAATAGTGGGGGTGATGATAATATGTCAAAGTCTAGTGATATTTCTAGTTTATCATTGACCGAAAATATAAAACAAAAAGAATATGAACCTAGGTGGAGTAAGAGGAGTAGAGTAGGAAAAGATTTTGGTTCAGATTACATTGTGTATAATGTTGAAGGAGATGCAACCAACTTACAAGAAGCCTTAACATCTCCCTATTCAGACTTATGGAGATAAGCTATAAATGATGAATATAATTTACTCATAACAAACTAAACATAAAAAATGAGAGATTTACCTCCTGGTTGTAAAACTATAGGTTGCAAATGGGTGTTAAAGAGAAAGCTCAAATCTAATGGAACGATAGATAAGTATAAGACGAGGTTGGTAGCTAAAGATTTTAAACAAAAAAAAGATTTAGATTTCTTTGATACGTTTTCTCCTGTCTCGAGAATTACATCCATAAATTACTAATATCTATAGCTGCTATACATAATTTAGAAATACATCAAATGGATGTAAAAATAACTTTTTTGAATGGTGATCTACAGGAATAAATTTATATGGGCCAATCAGAGGGTTTATTCAACAAGGTCATGTAAATAAAGTTTGTAAATTAACTAAATTTTTATATAGCCTTAAATAGGAGCTCAAACAATGGCACGAAAAATTTGATCCGTGTGTTTTAGCTAATAGGTTTAAGGCTAATGAGAGTGACAAATGTATTTACTTAAAGTCTAAAAGTGAACATATTATTATTTGTTTATATGTTGATGATTTTTTAATATTTGACACTAGATTATATGTGATTGAAACTACCAAGGCTTTACTAAATAGAAATTTTGATATGAAAGACTTGGGTCAAGCAAATGTGATTCTTGGTATGAAAATCACAAAGAGGGTTGATGGAATTATACTTGATCAATCCCATTACATAGAAAAAATATAACTTTTTTTGATTGTAAACCTGCTTGCACACCTTTTAGTTCAAGCATTCATTTATTTCCAACAGAAAAAGAAAGTGATATAATTAATCAAACAGAGTATGCAAGCATAATTGGTAGTCTTAGATATGCCACTGATTGTACTAGACCTGATACTGCGTATGCGGTGGGTGTAATTGGTAGATTTACTAGTAGACCTAGTATGAATCATTGGAGTGCAATATGTCGTCTTATGAGATATCTAAAAAGAACTATACATATTGGTTTATTTTATAAGAATTATCCTGCTGTATTTGAAGGTCACTGTGATGCAGATTGGAACACCCTATCGGGTGATTCTATGTCCACTATAGGTTATGTTTTTACTTTAGGTGGTGGAGCCATGAGTTGGAAATCAAAGAAGCAGCAAATTATTGCAAAGTCAACGATAAAAGCTGAATTGATTGCGCTAGCTTCAGCTAGAGAGGAAGCTGGGTGGCTTCGTGATTTATTGTTTGATATACATTTGTGGGCTAAACTAGTGTCACATGTGTTAATTCATTGTGACAGCAATGCCGCAATAGGTAGAGTACGTAATAAGTACTATAATGGAAAATCCAGAACTGTGAGAAGAAAACACAGTACTGTGAGATCATACCTGAATAATGGTGCGATCAATGTTGATTATGTGAGATCGACTGACAAACTTGTTGATCTGTTAACGAAAGCTCTAGGTAGAGAAAAGATCTGGAGTACATTGAGGGGGATTGGACTCAAGCCCAAATCCAATTAAGTTACATATGAGGATACCCAATCTAGGGACTGGAGATCTCGAGAACTAGGTTAATGGGACAAACAAATCATAGAGTGACTTGGTTTGTGAAACATGTACCAATAAAATTTATATCATTGTTGAAATTTATATTCATTGTCCATCCCTATGGTGTAAAGTACCTGTGATCTCGTAACAAAAATTTGGAGGATAAGATCAATATCTCTTAATGAGTTTTATAGCCATTTTTGGGTGGGATGTCTTAGTTACAAGAACATCCTTGATAGACTCATCTATATGAGTGTGGAAGACGGGCCGCTTCCTATGAGAATTTGAGCTAATTCTCTAGAGCACTCAAGAAACTAGGATAAAGCACAAGGCCAAAAATGTGCTGATTTTTGAAGCTTGGTTTTGGACACCTTGAATATCATGTGTGTGATATGATTCTACGTACTCTCAAGTAGTCATCGTTTAAAGGCTAAGTCCATTTTGACTCTAGTTTAGAAACTTTGAAGCACTAATTAAAGGTTTAAAGGCATTGCCACTGTTGCAATGCAAGATATTCTATTATTGCTCAGTTGCTTATATAGTATATCTTTTATTAAAATAAGTGGGGGATTGTTAGAATATTTTAACTAAAAGAGTGTTTTTTATGTGTGAGAACTCAATTGTACATCGATTAAATATTCAAAAGTACTTGAGTATAGATATATACTACTGTTATCTAGCCTTTGAATTAAAGAGAGATCTTAGGACTCTCACGTGCGCAAAGGTGGGTCTAGCTATAAGACCCCGTATTAAAATTAAATAAGGATACTATTATCTTAAGAGTTATCCTAATATGAATAAAATGATGGTAGAAACTTAGAATCATTGTTGAAAGATTGATCATGAAATTTGAGTTTCGAACGAATTGACTTTCGGGTCAAATTTAGTTTCGAAGGTGTGTAACCTTAAGAAGGGTGATTAGGTAAGTTTCTAAACATTTTTAGGTCAAACTAATGCCTCCATTGAATCCGAAAATTCGAAAAACATTGGAAGAGGTAATATCGGGTATAATAGAAGTTATGAAGTATTTTGGAGTTAAAACCTATTTTGGAGAGAATTTGGGTAGAAAGGAATTTGACACTACCTTAGTATTTTAGCTATAAATTTTTAATTTTAACTCCAATAGAGCTATTGTTTGGACAGTAGAAGCTAGACTTTAAGGGCTAAAAAAATGTATTTCACCAGAATTTATTGAATCGACTTTTAAATAGGTGAAAACTGCTCTTGAAATTGAGATAGAAAGTTACCTCCGTCCGAACGCCCCAAGCACCATCCGAATGATGCTCCTTACCCAGAAACTTTATTTCTCGTCAAAAACAGAGAATTTGAACCGTCCGGACGCCCAAGGACCGTTCAGACGCTACTCTAAAATTGGCCCCGATCAGTTTTAGGATTTTTCTCCAATTTTTACATTATAAATACCTAAGGCCGCCTCCTTTAACCTCATTTCACCAATTCTAACCACTAGAGAGCTTTGGAGAGTAAGAAGGAAGGGGAAAAACACAATATTGAAGGGGATTCTCACATCGAAGTGGATCAAATCTTCTAGTTTTTCACACAACACCAAGGAAGAAGAAAGGAGGTAAGGGTTTCTTCCTATTCTCTTCTATGTATGTTTTAACTCTAAATCCTATTTATATGTTAGGAAATCCTTGATTCTTTATATTCTTGTAAATATTACCATGTTTTCAACAAAGCTATGGTTGGATAGCTATGAAATCTTTTTTTCTTGTATTAAAACCCTAGGTCTCAAGAGAAATAGATTTTTCTCTTGATTTTTCTTTTGTTCTTGATTTCAAAACTCTAGTGCTCAGTATGGACAACAAAATAGTATTTTTGATGATCTCTTGCATATTTTCTTAAATTGTTCTATTAGAATAATACGTGTGAAATTTGAGGATTTTGGATTTTACTTGGGATTGGAGAAATTGGTTGGGTATTGTTTCTCTTGTGGATGTTTGGATGACCACAGATGACTATTGACCGGATATCGTAGAGTGGTGTAGATTCGTTTCTTACTCCATGTGAGTTTGAAGATTCCCTACCACTCGTAGTAGGGTTGGTGCCTTGTAAGGACCAAACTACTATTCGCTCATCTGTTATCGAGGCTAAGGGTTAGTATACTATTCATGGGTTGGATTCGTCACTGCCAATGTATTAGTATACGCCCTTCGTAAAGTTTGATATCTTTGCGAGGATTGAGTGTGTGTGTGTAGGCCAGGATATTCTTGATGTGTTTATTCATGTAATGTCATACATCATACCTAAAATACATTGAGGGAAAATGATACAGATTATGGGTTATTGTTTATTGTTTGAATTGGTTTATTGTTGGAAATTGGTGTTACTTATTCATTTACTTACTTGCTACTTTGTAAACTTGAGATTGGATGAACTGACACTGTTTTACTTCAAAAGTTATATATGATATTTGGGAAATGAGACTGATCTATTTTATATGTTTTTTAAACCTTGTTCAAGTTTGAGAGAATTTTCCTACAGAGCTTAGTGCTCACCCTCTACAAACAATTTTCTTTTCAGATTTTGGTTTAGAGGAAGAGTTCGGAGTTGACGAGCAGGTGTTTTGGGAAGTTCAAGTTGATGGGTATGTGGATTCGGAGGGGATGTCTAAAATTGTTCTTTTTATGTTATAGACTAGGAGATATATTTTGAGACAATGTATGGATAATATTTTGCCTATTCCACTGCGAGATAATAATTTGACATATTCTTTTGGGCGTAATTGCCATAGTTTGATATATTCTTTTGGATGTAATGACCATGGTTTGACATAATCTTTTGGATGATGTTTTAAATATTATGAATGATGAATGAAATTTTCTTTATTTATGGATCTTATTAGTTGCTCTTGTGATGTAAATGATTTTTAAATAGTAAAGCCGTCCAAGGGAGATTTTGGGGCGTTACACTAGCGAAGGAGATACGAATTTCTTAAATCTATGAACCACATTGATGGGCCTAGTCCATGACCCGGGTAGTGGGTCCCCCTGGCTCACCTAGATGAAATAAAACTATCTTTTTACTGTATAAGTTTCTAGACAATATTTAAAGGTGTGTGTGAAGTTTCTGCTTCATTCGATTATGCAGATCTGAGTGAAGCAACAGTCAATAGGTTGTACTGTTGTATTCTGGAGACGACGCGTTATTGCTTTCTGCGCTGTGATTCTTTTATAAAAGAGCGCAAATCGTCTTAAGAGAGCGACTTAGTCCGCGTCTCACCCTGCCATTCACTTTATTTGCATCCAATTTTTTCAACAAAATGTGTCTTATGTGGTGATGCAGCTGAGTCCCACTCCCTTCTCTTCTTTCAATGCCAATACTCTCATAGTGTTTGGAACATACTTCGTCGACACCTTAACCTCAAGTGGCATTTTCAGCCTTGGCCAGAGGTCATCTCCCGGGCTGTTCATCACTGGAAAGGGAAATCACTTTCTACTGTTCTCCAAAAGCTATGCTTGTCAGTTGTTGTCTACATATGGATGTAAAGAAATTCTAGAATGTTTTCCAATAAGACAAAGGATCCACATTCTCTCTTCAAGGTCATGCAGCAAATAGTTAGGGATAGAATTGCTTCTTTGAAATTCAATAGCTTCCAGTAGAACCTAGAAATTGCTGACAAAGTACAACTCCCAAGTGATTGTGTTGGCTAACTCCCTTGTCTTGCCACAGTGTTTTTGTATGGAAATTCCATTCTTTTGGACAAATCTGTCTGAGGTGCAATTATACATTTGCACTCCTTATAGATTTGTATTTCTTTTGAACCAGGGGTATGCCACTATACATACGTAGCTCCTTTACTTGAAATATACCTTTATTTTCCGAAAATAGGAAAGATACATCACAGAAGAGCCCGACTCCTTATCCATCATTGGTTCTCCCTCCCTTAATCATACATTACACCTGAAACAAAAATAACTTGTAATTTTTTTTTTCTATTGGTATTATCTGTTTTAAGATTTTTATCATCCAACAAGTCTTCCCTCTTTTATTTTGGAAAAATATGCTCCTCTAATTCTTAATCTTACTAAGTTATATCTCTACTAAGAGTCTACTCATAATTCCTCTTTCTAAAAACCTTTTTTTGTACAAAAGCTTTTCTTCACTATACTCAAGAAAAGGTTACATAAGAAGAATTTAGAAACATCTCAAATTTAAAATGTTAAAGTCCACATAAACACGTAATATCTACATCAAAAATCAAATATTCCATGAATGACAAAGACTTAGCAAAAACATATTGAAAAAATAAACACAAGAAAGTTGCATAGAAATAAAAAACATAGCAAAGTAATATCCTTCACAAAAATGTTTTTTTTTTTTGGAAAATGTTATTTGGACCTAAAAAATTGACATAATTTGCTGACCTAATGACATGGCTTCATTGAAACCATTGGATTAACACCAAGTTCCAATGTTTGATGGAGCCCACAGTCAATCCAAATGTCATAGTGAATTAGGTCAACAAATTAGGTTAATAAATTAGGTCATAATAGTATTGCTCTTTTTTTTTTGGTCGAGAAAAAAATTGTTTGGTCCACATTAAACATGTCAAAGGACTATGTCGTCTTTTAAGAAATTTGAAATAAGCAATAAATTCAAAATGAAATAAAAATCGATGGCCAAAACATCCCAAAAATCCAAGAAAGGAGAAGAGACATAAAATATAAAATTTAGCAGTAGTCCACAGGCAGGTCGTCTTCATGCAATCCTCATCCCATAAAGGTGGTTTGAAACCCCATGACGCCAAGATGCTCTTGGGCTGCCCTATTAAGAAATTGTTGTGCAACATTTCGAATAAATTGCTTCTCATATTACTACTGAATTAAATTATATTTGCCCAAATGTCCCATAAATTGCTCTATCTGACTTTGCCAACTTGGTAATGTGCAACAACTGTATCATATACCATCAAACAAGACAACAAAGTTGGCCAACCACTGCAATATTCCTGTTCAAAAAAAAAAAAAAAATGCAATGCGAAAAAAATTACATCTTTTATTTGGAAAAATAACATCTTTAAAAAATACACCTCAAAACCAAAAAGAGACCAAAAATAAATAAATCTTACACCTTGGAGGTGCAAAATTAACTTGGCCATTAGTAATGAATACTAACATATTCAGGCGTATACTTCCCAGCCCAATGGGATTGATGCAGTGACTTGAACAATAGCATATCAGTAACTTGGTGTTGAACTCCTGAACTTGTTCACTACCAGATTTAAGATAATATTGCTAGATTTATGTTTATTGATAAAATGGATAGACAAACAACTTTAAGAAGCTATGTGGTTTACAATTAATTTTAAGAAGAACTCGATCAGGTCTTTTGAACAAAAGCTCTGTGGTTTTCAAGATACTCAACAAACTGATCTAAGTATCTGTCTTGTCGATTCTTGTCTGTGAATATTTTACTTATTTCCGTTGCCTTATTCCTGCAAGTCCTTCCTTCACCGTCAAAGGCCATCACTAACCTCAGTGCCTCAGCCACTGAGTTCCTTGTAAACGACCCATCTCCTTCGTGTCTCTGTACTTCTCTTCCCACCTTCTTCTCCGCAAGAACCAGAGCATTTAACCCTTGATCCACCAAGAATGGCAACATAATCAGTGGGTGCCCTAATGTCAAGCCTTCTATAGTTGAGCTCCAACCACAGTGAGTCAAGAAACCACCAACCGAGCCATGAGACAGTATCCTGAGTTGAGGCGCCCAGCTTGTCCAAACAAATCCACGATCTTTGGTTCTCTCCAGGAACCCCTCTGGCAGCTCCACCGAGCCAGACCCAGCCAAACCAGGTGGCTTTCTTAAAGCCCAAAAGAAAGGCAACCCAGAAAGCTCCAACCCGAGAGCCAACTCAGTGACGTCGTTTTGAGTCAGTGTTACTTCGCTCCCCAATGCAACGTAAACCACAGAGCCTTTGTTTTTGCAGTCAAGCCAGTGTCTGATAGAAACCCACGTCTCATCTTTGTCGGCGTCGGAATTTTGTACCGGCGGGGGCATGAAGCCGCTGGAATTACAAGTTTTTGGTGAAGTTCTTCGAGGAGGTTCAACCAAAGTGGTTCGAGCTCATTACAGTCTCGTATAACAATGGCGTCAGACCCCATAATTACAGAGCCCAAACGATGCATATCGGAAACCCCAGAAGCGTTTACCTTTGTTGCGCCACGAATCCATTTGATCTCGTAAGGCCGATACGCAAGGTTCGTCGTAAAAGGGATGCATTTCAGCGGCACTGAAAAATGCTCCGGCAATGTCCTTGGATCAGAACCGTCGACCATGGTCGATGCTGATGGTCCAAACGTGGCCATAAACCAGGCGTTGATGATGAAGAAGAAAGCGCGTGAAACTCCAAGCTTCGCTGCGATTGGGGGCAACCAGTGAGGCGCAAAGTCATATAGATTCCAATCTGCAGGTGAGTTCTGTAAAAACTGAGACAAACCAGCCTCGAGACCGTCGAAAACCTTCTTGAGGTAGGGTATATCTTCGGTACGGACGTCCATGGTGGCCTCTGCATTTTCAGGGAGGTTAGGTACGAGAGGTAAAGGAAGCTTTACTAGGTTTATGAGAGAGGCCAAGTTTGGAGGCAGTTTTGGGAGGCGTTGGATGTTTCTAGGGGTTGATATGAAGGAGACTCTGCGACCCTTTTGGGCTATGAACTTGGAGAGCTCTAAGAACGGGATCACGTGACCAAAAGCTAGCCATGGGAACATCACTACGTGTAGCTTACCTTCGCTGGCCATGGAGGTGGGGAGGTGGAGTGTATATATATATAGGTAACAGTACAATACCGCGAACCTAATTTTCGGTATGTTACCAAAAAGTTAGGTGAGTTGTATATGTGACGTGCAACTCTTTAAAATTGGTAAAATCGGTTGTTCCTAAAAAATAGTATCTAACTCAAAAGAAATGTATCACATCCAATAAAATTGGAACTCTTACTAAAAAAATTAGAACCCCTCCCTCAAAAATTTGGAACCTCTACCAAAAAAGTTGGTATCCCTACTAAAAAAATTTGGAATCCTCCCCCAAGAGTTGAAACCTCTATCCAAAAAAGTTGAAATTCCTACCAAAAAAAGTTGGAACCCCTCTCTTCAAGAGATGAAACATCTACTCAAAAAGGTTAGAACTCAAACACAAAAAAGTTGGAACCCCTACAAAAAATATTTGGAACCTCTATCTAAAAAAATTAGAATCCCTCATCCAAAAAGTAGTAACCTCTACCCAAAAAAGTTGGAACCCTTACCCCCAAGAGTTGGAATCTCTATCCAAAAGGTTGGAACCCCATACCCAAAAAATTTGGAACCTCTCCTTCAAAGAGTTGGAACCTCTACATAAAAAAGTTGAAACTCCTAACAAAAAAAGTTGAAACCCCTCCCCTTAAGAGTTCGAACCTTATCCAAAAAAGTTGGAACCCTTTCCAAAAAAGTTGGGACTCTTTTCCCTAAGTGTTGGAACCCCTACACAAAAAAAGTTGAAACCCCTCCTCAAAAAATTAGAACATCTACCCAAAAAAGTTTGAACCCTTACCAAAAAAAGTTAAAACTCCTCCCTCAAAGATTGGAACTGTTACCCAAAAGGTTAGAACCCCTACCCAAAAAAGTTGGAACCCCTTCCCTAAGAGTTGGAATCTCTATCCAAAAAGTTAGAACTCTACCCAAAAAAGTTGGAACCCTTCTTCCAACCGTTATACCCTTCCAAAAAAGTTGGAACCCCTCCTCCAACTGTTATACCCTTCGAAAAAAGTTAGAACCTCTCCTCCTAAGAGTTGGAACCTCTACCTAAAAAGTTGGAACTTATACCCAATCCAAAATAATTGAAATTTGATTAAAACAGTTGTAATCTAGCTAATCCGAGTCACCTCAAAAATTATAATCCAATCCAAAAAAGTTATAACCCTGACCCAAATAGTTGGAAGCATTATTTACAATTCGTTTAATTATATGATTTTATTTATTATTTATTTGTTAATAAAAAATGGGACTATTTAAAAAATATTGAATATTTTTGGATTACAGTAAGATTTTTTTGATTATTTAAGGGTAAAAGTGTGATAGTTAAGAGATAAAATTGTGATATTAAACCCCGATCGGTCTTGCATTTCTTCGGCCTGTCTTAATTCTTCATATGCAAATTACACTTATACCCCACAAATTACAATATATAATTTTTTTATTTTCTTGTGAATATTGTGGTCCACAAATCACAAAAACTTTATCTTCTCTCTCCACCCACTTTTTCGCCCAAACCATTTTTCACTTCTCTTACCTTCCCTCCATCTCTTTTACCGTACATCCCTTCTCCCTTTCACCATACAAAAGTATTTATTTAGTTTAGAATTTGGTGTTAATATGATGAATTGAATGTTTATTTCATAAAGTTAAATGTTTATTTAGGATAAATTTGATAAATTGAATATTAAATGTTATTAGAGTAAATTGAATATTAATTTGTTGAATTGATATTAATTTGGTATTGATTTGATGAATTAAATGTTTATTGGATGAAATTTTATGTTACTTTGATATTGGTTTGTTAAATTGAACCTTATTGGATGATTTTTTATACCAATTTGATAAATTGAGTGTTAATTTAATAAATTTGAATATAATTTAGATGAATTAAATGTTAATTTTGTGTTAATTTGATGAATTGAATATTTATTGGATGTGATTGAATGTTAAGTTGATGAATTAAATGTTTATTAGATGAAATTGAATGTTGATTTGAAGAATTGAATGTTAATTTGTTATTTATTTGAAAACTTAAATGTTTATTGGATGAAATTACATGCTACTTTGGTGTTAATTTGTTGAATTGAATTTTTATTGAAGGATTTTCGATGTAAAATTTATGTTAATTGAATAAATTTGAATATAATTGGATGAGATTGAATGTTATGTTGATGAATTGAATGTTTATTAGTTGAATTTTAATGTTAGTTTAATGAATTAAATATTTTTTAGGTAAAATTTAATGTTGACTTGAAAAATTGAATGTTAATTTGATGAATTGAGTATTAATTGGATGAAATTGCATGTTCCTTTGATGTTGATTTGATAAATTGAATATTTATTGAGTGATTTTGGATGTTAATTAACATTCAATCTCATCTAATTAAGATTTAATTAATCAAATTAACACCAAATTAATATTCAATTCATCACATTTATATTCAAATTATTCAATTAACACTTATTTTATCAAATTATCATCCAAAATCATGCAATAAATATTCAATTTATCAAATCAACATCAAAGTAACATGAAATTTCATCCAATTATTACTCAATTCATCAAATTTACACCAAATTAACATTCAATTATTAAAATCAACATTTAATTTTACCTAATAAACATTTAATTCATTAAACTAATATTAAAATTCAACAAATAAACATTTAATTCATCAACATAACATTCAATCTCATCTAATTTATATTCAAATTCATTCAATTACCATTTAATTCATAAAATTAAGATCGAAAATCCGTTAAAAAAAAATTCAATTTAACAAATTAACACCAAAGTAACACACAATTTCATCCAATAAACATTATATAAATAACAAATTAACATTCAATTTTTCAAATCAATGTTCAATTCCATCTCACAAACATTTAATTCATCAACTTAACATTCAATCACATCCAATTAATTTTCAATTCATAAAATTAACATTCAATTCATCTAATTTATATTCAAATTCATTAAATTAACACTCAATTTAACAAATTAGCATCGAAAGTCATCCAATAAAGGTTCTATTTAACAAATCAACATCAAAATAACATACAATTTCATAAAATAAACATTTAATTCATCAAATCAATACCAAATTAATATTCAATTCAACAAATTAACATTCAATTTCATCTAATAACATTTAATATTCAATTCATCATATTAAAATAAAAAATCATCTAATAAATATTTAATTCATCAAATTAACACCAAATTAACATTCAATTTAATAAATTAACATTTCTTTTTGAATAATAAATATTTAATTCATTAAATTAACATTTAAATTAACTATTTAACATTCAATTCATCAAATTAATACCAAATTAACGTTCAATTATTCAAATCAACTCCAAACTAACATTCAATTCATCAAATTAACACAAAATTAATATTCAATTCATTAAATTCGCATTCAATTCTATCTATTAAACATTTAATTCATCAAATTAACCTAACATTCAATTCCATCCAATAAAATTTTAATTTATCAAATTAACACCAAATTAACATTCAATTCATCTAATATATATTGAAATTCATCCAATTTACAGTCAATTCATCAAATTAACATCCAAAATCATCTAACAAAAATTCAATTTATCAAACCAACACCAATGTTATATAAAAATTCAATGAATAAATATTTTGTTTTACATGGAATAATGAAATAAATAAAAGAAAGCAAAATATGCATGCTTAATACAATAAATAATAAAAATAAATGTATCCTAAGCATGCTGCCTTCATTAATAAAAGGTCCAACTGATGTAGGAACATTCTAGTTGAATTGGAAACCTTTTAAGCGTTCCAGCTGAACATGAAGCCTAACTGCCAAAAGATATGTCTTGGAATTAAATGCAGCTTCCATAATACAACTGCCTAAGAGTCTGACTGAAGAAGAAAGTCTACTGCACAAAGATCATTGAATAAATATTTAATTCATCAAATCAACACCAAATTAACATTCAAATTAACAATTCATTTCGTATAATAAATTCAATTCAATTCATTAAATTAACTATTTAAAATTAAATTCATCAAATTAAGATTCAATTTCATCCAATGAATATTTAATTCATCAAATTAACCACAAATTAATATCCAATTCTTCAAATTAACACTAAATTAACTTTCAATTCATCAAATTCACATTCAATTCCATCTAATAAATAATTTATTCATCAAATTAACTTAACATTTAATTTCATCAAATAAATATTCAATTCATCAAATTAATACTAAATTAACATTCAATACATCCAATTTATATTCAAAATCATCCAATTAACACTCAATTCATCAAATTAACATAAAAAATCATCTAATAAAATTCAATTTATCAAACCAACACCAATGTAATATAGAAATTTATCGAATAAACATTTAATTCATCAAATCAACACCATATTAGCATTCAATTCAAAAAATTAACATTTCGTTTTCATATAATAAACATTCTATTCATTAAATTAACACCAAATTAACATCCAATTCATCAAATCAATACCAAATTAACATTCAATTCATCAAACTAACACCAAATTAATATAAGTTGTATGAATTGAATATATATTTGGTATTGATTTCATCAATTGAGCATAAATTTGGTGTTAATTTGACGAATGAATATGTATTGGATGAATTTAATGTTAATAGTTGAATTTAAATGTTAATTTTATTAATTTAATATTTATTAGATGAAATGTAATGTTAATTATTGTTGAGTTAATGAATTAAATGTTTATTTGATTAATTTTCATATTACTTTAGTGTTGATTTGATAAATTAAATTTTTATTGGATATTAATTTTGATAAATTGAGTGTTAATTGGATGAATTGAATGTCGATTTAGTGTTAATTTGATGAACTGAATATTAATTGGGTGAATTAAATGTTAATTTGATATTAATTTGATGAATTAAATATTAATTAGATGAAATTGAATGTTACTTTGATGTTGCTTTGATAAAATTTTGTGTTGGGTTATACTTTTTT